AAACAAACAGTTGGCAGAACTTTCCCCATTGGAAAGATGAAGCCCAGACAGGGAAGGGATTAGGACAGTGTTGACCAGCTGCCCCTCCCATGCACCAGCTGCAGGACTGTGGATAGTATCTTTTCCTTGTGCTATCAAGTCCTTCCTCTTTTCTTCCTCCTTTTGCCCATCACCCTCATCCAAGTCTCTTATCTTCACTGACCTGGGCCCTCACCTCAGCCTCTTTACTTCCTAGTGACCAGATGGGGTCTTTCTAAACAGAAAATCTAACCCAGCCCCTCTCCAACTCAAGAATAAAATACAAATTCTTTAACACACTATGGCTCCCTATTGCTCTAGAATAAAATACAAATTCTTTAACACAGTATCTGCAGACCTTTCCAAGCTCTTCTTGGCTAGCTTGCAGCCATGCTGATCTTCTTTCTCTCTCGGATGTGTAGCACCCTCCCTCTTACCTTTATACCTTCTTTTAGATTGTGCACCCCTCCCTCTTCCCCTATGTCTGTCCCTCCTGCCAAGCTTTTTGCCTGGCAACCGCTCAGGGACAGGACTCTGGAGTTCAAGTCTTGGAATTAGTCTCTTCTCTCTGCAGCTTGCAAACTGTGAAGTCTTGAAAAGGTCTCTAAACCTCTGTAACCTCAGTTTTCTCATATGTAAAGTGATGTTGCCACAACTTCCACGTCAATCAAGTTGTTATGTGGGTTCAATGAGATAAGACATGAAAAATGCTTAGAACAGAGTGGGCAGTGGTTGGTTATGTGCTACGGAGCCGGTTCCGACTCATAGTGACCCTGTATAGGGTTTCCGAGGCTGTAAATCTTTATGGGAGCAGAAAGCCTCATCTTTCTTCTGCGGAACAGCTGGTAGTTTCAAACTGCTGGGGTTAGCCACTGACCACAAGAGAAGGCTGCATCACCAAGGACTCTGAGAACTTTCTTTAGCATTGTAGAAACACAAATCCCTCTTACACATTCTTTGTATGTGTGTGTGTGGGTGTACTCCCAGTCTCCCTCTCATACCTTTTCATCTTGTACTTGTCGGTCATCATTATTGCAGGATTGTACATATATAACAGTATTTACCTCTGTTGTCTTTCATTCTTTCACTCCTCCCAGTGACTACCCTTGACGTCATTGTTTTTTTCACCAACCTCCCTCCTATTGTATATTACCTTCCCCTTCACCTCATTGTGTGAAGGAGCAATTCATCCACATGTTTCTGTATTCAGGAAGAATGAAAACACATATGAAAAAACTTCTGGTTAACACTTACTCCTAGCTGTCCAATTCTCCTCTCCAGAAGTAACCACCCTTACAAGTTTCTTGTGTCTCCTTCTACCGCTATTATTCTAACACATACACCACACATACATGTGAGAGTTTCCCCCCCCTTTGTAACGCGTATGCATTGAACACTGTTCTGCCTCTTGCTTTTTTCACTTCATAGTAGATCTTGGCTGTCTCTTTGTATCCATACACAAAGAACGTCCTCATTTTAAAAAATATATTATTAGTAGGTGTAGAGTCACCCTTTCATTCCTGACAGCTCCGTGAATGAAATGTTGTCCCATCCTGCACTACCCCTTAATCAGTTAGTTACAGGTCAGACTGTTGTGCTCCAGAGGATTTTCATAGGCTGATTTTTAAGAAGTAGATGGCCAGGCCTTTCTTCCTAGTCTTAGTCTGGAAGCTCTGCTGCAACTTGTTCAGTATCCTAGCCACATGCAAGCCTCCACTGACAGACTGGTGTCAGATGCCCATGAGGTGCCCTGACTGGGAATGGAACCTGAGTCTCCTGCTTGGAAGGCAAGACTTCTACCAGTGAACCGCCATATTGTCATTGCTTACTGCTGCCCAGGGTGGACGGACCATCATTCAATTAGCCAGTCTTCTCTTGCTGGACACTGTAGGATCAGTACTGGACTGCAAACCACAAGATTGGCAGGTCAAATCCATGAGCGTCTCAGAAACCGTCTACAGCGTTTCTTGATTTGATGGCACTTAATAACAACAGCAACTCTTGCAGGGCCCTTTAGTTGTGCACTTGGTTTTTGTTGAAATGCTTGGTAACTCATTTATATCAAGAAGCACCCGAGTGTTCATGTCAGCATCTTTTTCCTTCACTTGTGAAGTCAGTGAGAGGAAATGACCCAGTGAGTTTACGCTTGGAAAGAGCATGGTCAGCGGATGATGTGACCACTGCATGGAGAAGCTCTTTTTTCTAAGTGAGTTATCCAGGAGTCAGGGATCACTGAGAGCTTGCAAAACTGGCAGAGGCAGAAGTTAACTTCACGTAGTCCATCCAAGATTGAGCAGTCAAAAGTATTAATAACTGCTAAGGTAGGAGTCCTGGTGTGGTGCTGTGGGATAAGCACTGGACTTCTAAATTCAAGGGTGGCAGTTCAATCCTACCAGACGCTCCTAGGAAACTCTATGCAGTGTCGCTATGAGCCAAAATTGACTCGACAGCCCTTAGCAACAACAACACAGTAAGGTTGGCCAGAAGAGGTCCTTAGGGTGTAGTGGATTAAGTATTCTGCTCTTTTATTGAAAGATCGGCAGTTTGAACCCACCAGCCGCTTCACGGCTGAAAGTCTGCTCCCATAAAGATTTCCTGTCTTTTTTTTTTTTAACTTTTTATTGAGAATTGAGTGAAGGACAAGATCATTAGCTTTACAGTTGACAAATTGTACACTTGGTTTCATCTCAGTGATTACAGCCAACAACAGTTGTCCTGTTCCCTCCCTGTAGTTCCTCTTTGCATTCTATCCACTTCCCTATCCCTTCTCAGCTTTGTCCTTAGGAAAATGGTTCCCTTTGAATTTGGAATGATAGCCCATTCCCATGGTGAGCATACCTTGCTTGTATTGTCCCATTCCTATACATTTATTGATTGTTTGACTAAAAATTTGGCCACAAGGGTGAGTCTCTTTCCAGACCTGAAGGGTGGTTGAAGGCCATGGTCTCTGGTTCCTCCAGCCTCTTTTTTATTTATTAATTTATTTTTTTAATGTTTTATTGTGAATTATATGGTAGTTTACATGAGAGAACTTTAGTTTTACATTCATTCCATTGTATATCATCTCATTGCCATGGTTCCAATCCCCTCCATGCGTCATCAACCACTCAAAGGGTATATCTCAGAAACCCGCCCCCTACACGTCCCCTAAGCCCCCCCCACCCCCAGTTTTCGGCCCACAGTCCCTTTCACTGGGTCCAAAGTCCCCAGTCGCTTCATCACTCCACGTCATCGTCTCTGTCTCCATCTCAGGCATCTCTGTTTCTCTGGGTAGGGTCCCCCTCTTGGCTCTTCTCCGTTGATGGTCCTAGAGACCTCCGCTCCTATCCTGGAGAATTAATCACTCCCTTCCTTGTTCCAAAACGTCTACCTTTGCATTTCCAACACTCATAATCACTCCTGATAAGCATTATTCACTACAGTATCACGAGTTACCCATCTGTATTTCCTTTCATCTGCTCCACCCAGACAGATTGAGTAGTACCTACTGGAGATTCTGCCTTCCTCCATGCTCCCTAGCACTAGGTTCCCCCTTGAAAGCTTGTAAGCCAGTTACTTCTTGCCTTTGTAGTCCCCCACCCCCCATTTGAGTATCCAATGTCCAAATTCCTCCAGTCTCTTTTTGACCAATAAACCCAGTCTTTTTTTTTTTTTTCTAATTAAATAATTTTGAGTTTTGTTCCACATTTTCTCCCACTCTATCCAGGACCCTCTAACGTGATCCCTTTTGGGATGGTTGGTAGTGGTAGCTGGGCACCATCTAGTTTCTTCTGATCTCAGAGTCATGGAGACAGATGATCACATGGTCCATGAGTCCACTGGACTAATTGATTCCAGACCTCTTCAATTCTTAACACTCTTCTCTCTTCCGCACATGGAGAAACCAATAGCTGCACTTTACACAGTCGCTCATAAGCTTGCAAGAACCCAGACACTACCCAACCAAGCAGAATGTAGAACATTATCTTTGTGGACTATATTATGCCAACTGACCACAGAAGATTTACATCTTGGAAACCATAAGGAGCAGTGGTACTCTGTCCTGTAGGATTGTATGTGTGGCATTGATTGACCAATAAGGATGGATAGTGGTCATACAATACAGTTTACCGGTTGCCATAGAGTCAACTCCAATTCATGGTACCCCCATATGTGTCAGAGTAGAACTGTGTTCCATAGGGTTTTCAATGGCTGATTTTTCAGGAGATCACCAGGTCTTTCTTCTAAGGTACCTCTAGATGGACTTGAAGCTTCACCCTTTCAGTTAGCAGTGAGCTTGTGAATCGTTTGCACCATGTGGTGGGGAAGGGGTGAGGGGGGACTTTCCAGCATTATAGTAGGGCTCCGCACTAACCATTTGGTTTCTGGATCATGAGACACCCGTGAACTTCAAGATCACCATGGCATTGTCAGAATGGGAATTCTGACCAATCAGTGTGGAAGCATTTTGATATTTTAATAGCTGGTATGGAGTCCTGGTGTGGTGCTGTGGGTTAATGCGCCAGACTGCAAAGCCATTTGAACTGCAAGCTCAAATGGTTCAAGCTCACCACCTACTCCTTGGAAACCCTATACAGGATCGCTATGGGTTGGAACCAACTTGACAGCACTTAACAACAACAACAAAAAATGGTTGCTAGGGAGAAACCCTGGTGGCACAGTGGTTAAGCACTCAGCTGCTAACCTCAAAGGTTGGAAGTTCAAAACCACCAATAATTCCATGGGAGAGAGATGAGGTAGTTTGCTTCTATGAAGATTATATCCTTAGAAACTGCATGGGGCAATGGGGATGGTTCCTGGGTGGTGTAAGCAGTTTGCACTTGACTACCAAGCTCAAAGTTGGCAGTTCAAACCCACCTAGTGGTGCCACCTGTTTCTGTAAAGAGTGTTGTTGCTGTTACGTGCCATGGAGTTCGGTCTGTAAAAATGACAGGCAAGAAAAGCCTGCTGACCCGTTCTGCTCTGACACACGTGGGACCATCATGAATCAGAACCCACGCAACAGCAGCGTGCTTGAGATTTTTCCTCTTTTTTTTTGGTATGACCACTACAGTTGGCGCCGAACCCCCAGCAGCCCCTGCTTCCATTTCCTGGTAGACACCTGGGGCTCACAGAGGTGGTGTGGTGGATCCAAAGCCAGGAGTCCTCAGACTTATATCTTTCCTACCTCTCTGATTCCACCCAGGAACACAGGACCACTAACAGCCCTGATTATGCGTATGACTACCCGACAGATCACATAGATCCCGTGGATGGTACGCCTGCCCCCCCGGAGATCCAGACTCTGGACATGATTGCTCTTGTCATCTTCACTCTCGTCTTCCTGGTGGGAGTGCCAGGCAATGCCTTGGTGGTCTGGGTGACAGGGTCCGAGGCCAGGCGGACCATCAATGCCATCTGGTTTCTCAACCTGGCAGTGGCTGACCTCCTCTCCTGTCTGGCATTACCCATCCTGTTTACCTCGATCGTTCTGCACAACCATTGGCCCTTTGGTGAGGCTGCCTGCCATATCCTGCCCTCCCTCATCTTGCTCAACATGTACGCCAGCATCTTGCTCCTGGCCACCATCAGTGCCGACCGCTTTCTGCTGGTGTTCAATCCCATCTGGTGTCAGAACTACCGAGGGGCTCGTCTGGCCTGGATGGCTTGTGGAGTGGCCTGGGTCCTGGCCCTGCTGCTGACCATCCCTTCTTTCCTGTACCGGTCAGCACAGGAGGATCATTTTCCACCCAGGACCGTGTGTGGTCTCAACTATAGTAAAAATAAACATAAGGAGGTGACGGTGGCCAGCACACGGTTAATAGTGGGTTTCTTATGGCCCCTGATCACCCTCTCGATCTGCTACACCTTTCTCCTCCTGCGCACATGGAGCCGCAAGGCCACACGCTCCATGAAGACCCTCAAGGTGGTGGTGGCTGTGGTCAGCAGCTTCTTTATCTTCTGGCTGCCCTATCAGGTCATCGGCATGATAATGGCCTTGAACAGCAATGACTCAGATACTTTCAAATTTGCGAGGAAGATAGATGCATTGAGTGTCTCCTTGGCTTATGTCAACTGCTGCATCAACCCCATCATCTATGTGGCCGCTGGGAGGGGTTTCCAGACCCTGTGCCGTAAATCCTTCCGTTCCATGCTCAAGAATGTTTTGACAGAGGAGTCCGTGTGCAGGGAGAGCAAGTCCTACACACAGAGCTCCACGGTGAACACTGTGACAGAAAAGACCGAGACAGTGTAAGGGGAGGCCACCCGTACCACCATCCACCTGGTGCACCATCTTCCTTTCTGGCTCCACCATTCCTTCTTGCTTTAACTCATCCCTGGATGATGGTCTTTTTTTGGTTTGTGCTCATTCATTCCTTTAACCTTTCTCAGATTCATCTATCCTTCTTCTTCCAGGCTAATTCCTCTAGCTTTTCCTCACTTCCAAGATTAATTTGTTTTTCTATGGACACGCAAGGATCCGTGGTCACATAATGGTTAAGTGGTTGGTTAGCTTCTAACCAAAAGGCTGGCAGTTCAAACCCAATTCTGAGGGAGAAAGACCTGGAGATCTGCTCCCCATAAACATCCCAGCCAAAAAAACCCAATAGGGTAGTTTACTCTTATCACATGGGGTCACTGATGAGTGGAAATGGCTCAATGCCACCTACCAACTGTGGATGCCCAATTTTTCTTTCCATCCAAGGCTTACCAATGTATATAGAATGAATATCCATATCCACTGATGTGTTTTATGTAATATATAGATACATACAAATTCTTTAGAGTAATGATGTTCAAATATGGTGCATTTTATTTGAGATAATATACTAAAGGACTTTAAAAATAGCTTTATTGTTGTGGTAAATAAATATATATAGCAAAGCATTTGGCATTTAGACTTTTTTTTTTCTTTTTAATTGTAGCAAAAATATACAGATCAAAACATTTGTCAATACAACAGCGTAAACCTTTTTTTTTTTTTTTTTTAATATGGACAATTCAGTGACATTAATTTTGTTCATTACGTTGTCCAGTCATCATCACTATCTGTTCCCAAGTTTTTCTTTCTCCTTTAATAGAAACTCAATGCTCCTTAAGTAAAGAGTTTACATTTTTTATTTTAAATAATTATGTATCTATTTTAAGGGGGATTAGGGAAAAAATGTTAACAGGTACCCCAGAAGTTACTCTTTTTGGGACCAAGCAAAAATACATAAGCCTAGCAAACTCTTTTCCCCAAAACTTTAAAGCTCTGGTATCAAGTCTGTTTGTGATCAATGTTGAAAAAGGTTGGTAAATTTTTGAATTTCAAGTAGATTATTCATGATTCAGTGAAAGCACAACTTGATCAATGGAGTTTGCTGCTTTCAGATGATATTAGATACCTTGATCTGTGGGGGTTGAAAGATCTAAACTACATAGGGTATGTCAATTATGTGAAATTCAGGTAATAATAATTAATAGGTTTTATAGAAATTAAAACAACTACTGCCAACAAGAAATAAATGTCAACATTATTAAAAAGTTTTGAAAGTACATAGGCCTATTTAAACTTTTAATTGTTTTTTTTTAAAAGCCTTGTTAAAATGTTATTGAATTGGGGGGTATATTAAGTAAAGGAAGTTTATATGCTTATGGTAGAAAGTGTGAGGAAGAAAGAGTAATTATGACTGAGGTGGGAAAGCATTAGCCCGACAGATAAGAGGGGGCTTCAAAGAGTTTGTAGAAAAATGGGATTAAAAGATAACGATTTTCCCACAAATTTTTGAAGCCCCCCTCGTACATTTAGTCCACAGCTGATGGTAAGGAAATTTTACTTTTGCTTTTGTGAATGCTGTTTTGTTTGATTCTTATTTAACTAAACGCTGCATTTTGAGATCGTTGTAGATTCATGCCAGTATTAAAATTAAACGTTGACGATATTCAATCTGTATATAGACTCATAAACTTTGCTTTCCAATACAAGAACCATTGACCCTCCGGTCTGGAAGTTGGACAAGAGTTCTGGAGCACGCGTAATGATATAAGCACAAGGGTTTTTATAAAGGAGGAGGCACAGGCACAAAGAAACTCTGTGGGGGCACATTTTGGATTGACTGGGTGTCGGGGACCTGCCTCAACATAGGGGTTCGGTTCATGAGGAGGAGATACCTGACGGCGGTAGATGTAGCAAAAGAATACACAGATAGACAGAAGAAGGGAGACAATGAGGCACCCCAAAGCCAGGGTGGATACATCACTGGTGGGCAGGCTTGGGAGTACAGGCATCGTGGCCTCTGCAGGCAGCAACTCACTGCCCTGCAATCTTTACTGCATGCCTTCCAACCCATGATGCACACCTGGGGAGGCCCAGGCCTCTGTTTTATTTAGGGGAGGAACTTCACACCAGGCTGGGAGGGACTTAGGCAAGGTACAGCTAACATCAGTACTTTTCCAGACATTCAGGTAACTTTACATCGTACTTCGCTGGTTCGAATCCCAGGCCAGCAACTTGGATTCTCAGGCCCAATGAACATATCTATAGCCCCTGAGCTCAGGTGGGGGAAGGTGAGAGGTAAGGACAAAAGCTTGGGCGGAGTCCTGCTGTTTCGGCTTCCTGAGCCAGGTCTGCAGGAAGACTGGAGACCCAGGTGAATGGGCTGCACCTGGAAAAGGATTAGGGAGGATGGGTTTTTTGTCTATAGAACAAAGAACCGAGAAGTAGCTAAGATATTTTTAGTTAATTCTTTTGGAGAAAGGCTTGACCTTGCAACTTTTAGTCTTAGGCTTTAGGAAAATATCACAGTTATCTGTGGATTATCAAGGGCTCCGTGTATTAAATTAATACATGTAACTGAATATTAAGATGGAAAACAATTTGCCATTAACTGCCAGTGGCCTCATTTGTTACACTCGGGCCTATAGGGCCTCGAACCTCTGACCAGTCTTACATGGTCTGCAACAGCTGGGGGGAGCGGGGGTCGGGGAATTTTCTTTCCTTATTTGGGGTTATAGGGACAGGCAAGTCCTGATTGGCTACTTTGAGTTTCCAAGTTCTGATTGGCTAGCTTGGGTTTCCATTTTCAGAAGAGTCAATTGATTGATTTGGATTTAAACTCCTGGGAAGGATAGGCATTTCTGGAAATAGAAATTTAGGTTTTAGCTTGCTGATGTGGGGTGTAGCACAAGGGACTCCTTTTGGAGCCTGGAGTAGTGGTTAAAGTACCTGACTAACTGTAAGGTTGGCAGTTCAGATGCACTCCTTGGGAGAAAAATCCAGCTATCTCCTCACATAAATATTACATCCTCGGAAACTCTATGGGGCTCCAGGGTCCTTATGTGTCAGAATTCACTTGAGAGCACCTAATAGCAATAACACAGTTGGGTTAACATATTGAATAATAGTGAGAGGCTATGGATACTCAGCCAAATTCCTCCCAATGATAAAAGCCAAAACAGTAACAAAACAATTGCTGATGAGTTAATTCCAATACATGGAAACTCCTGTGTGCAGAGTACAACTGGACTCCTGTTGCAAACAGATCTCCAAGGTTTTCTTCGAGACACCTTTGAGTGGGTTTAAGCCACCAATCCTTTGATTAGTAGTCAAGTAGTTAAGCATTGCACCACCCAGGGACTTTCCCCCAATGACAACATTTTGCACAATCACTGTGCAACATCATAGCCAGGATATTGATGTTGACACAGGCAAGATACAGAATGTTCCATCGGCTGTTAGGATCTCTGTGGATGTTCTTTTGTAGTTACACCCACCATCACCTTACTTCCTCCCCCGTTTTGTCTCTACTTATCCCAGGGAGCCACTAACCTGTCCCCCACTTCAATAATTTTGTCATGTTCTATTGAGAGGATTGCAATAATTGAAATGAAACATATGATTGTTGAATGTAAAACTGTGAATCTTCACTCAATTCACCATAAAAAGTGAAGAAGAAGAAGGA